AGGAACAGCAGGCACCGCTCGAATTTTGGAAATCAAGGTGAACCTGGGAATTCAGGGACGCGCAGGTGCTGTGCCGTCTCCCACCCTGCTCTGCCTCCTCAAGTATTCCAGAGCTCTGCTGGGGACATAATGGTCACAATCCTTAATGCTTACGGCGACGCTGCGAGGGAGGGACTACTTATCTCCGTGTTACGAACTAGGAGTCCGAAACTCCGTCCAAGGTGTGATCCAAGGTCACACAGCAAGTAATTAGCGGAGGGAGGATTTGAACCTGGACCTCTGCAACTCCCCGCCTGCGTCCATTAACCTTCCTGGGACCCTGTGGGGCTCACCTCCGTCGGTGAGCAGCTCGCGAGGCCCGGCTCCGCAGTGACCTTCACCATGACGGCGTGGGGGGCTTGGCTCGGGTTTTGCTTCAGGGAAATGGAGCTGGCGCTCCCACCTCCCCGCGGGGGGAGAGGAGTAGGGCGGGCAAATCATTTTACAGAACAGTGTTTCCCTAACTGCAGGCACAACCACTAGTGGGTCACAAAATCTATCTTTTAAAGAAAGACCAACATTAAAAAATAACGGCTTCCTTGCACAAGGCAAGGGTAGGTTTTGTGTGGGAAACACTTCTTCAGACGTGTGTCCTGAGTTGTAATCTGAAGTGTGTTCTGGCCATGCTCTGAGGGTGGCATAGAACAGGCCCTGGGGCTGAGGCCGGGAGGCTGGCCCCTCCATTCTGTCCTCAGGGCCCAGCGCTGCCCAACTTGGAAGCTGATGAAACCTGGCCTGGAGGCTGGTGTGAATGCACCTGGCCCCTGGGGGGGGGGGGGAAGAGGCCTCCTTGCTCCTACATCCCTGTCATCTAGAGGAGGCCTGTGCCCTGGGGGTGGAATGCAGTGACTGGACTGGACTTCCTGGTCCTCCAAGCTGGCCTCTGGCAGCAGAAGTCCCACGTGAACATTTATTGGTTTGAGCTTCAGTTGTTGGTTTCTTGGTTCCACCACACCCCAACTCCACGCATTCGTTCATCCACCCATTCATTTAGCTTATTTGTGGGCCTTTGTTGGAGCTATCTTCCCCTTGTCCACCCACCAACCCCAGACAGCCTTCAAAAATGTCAGAGGTGCCTGCCCTGGGAAGCATTCCCTGACACTGATGCTGAAAACGTGTGCACCAGTGCCGAATGGAATCTCGGAGACAGAGTTTTGAGTGAAGTAGAAAAGAACAGCTTTATTGCTTTGCCAGGCAAAGGGGGACACAGCAGGCTCGTGCCTTGAAAACTGTGTGTCCCAATCCGGGAGGATTTGGTGAGGAGTTTTATAGCAGTGGTTCAAGGGTGGGGTTGCTGATAAGATTAGGGTGTGTGCAGGGCCTGCACTCCTTTAACCTGGTCTCAGGTAATCTCCTGGTTCCTTTAATCTGGCCTCAGGGTGTCTTCTCTGGAATGAAGAATGCTAACATCTTCCATTTGTTAGGGCTTTTAGTTCTGTAAAGAACTCGAAGATATTGTTATGTGTATCCCTTGAGGCAGAACCAGGACCTGCCCCAAGGCTGCACTATTGTTTCTTGGCCGCTCCTCCCTTGTCTCTGTGTCCCCTCCCCTCTATGATTAGCAGCTGTTCGAATCTGCCCTTTGGAACTCAGGGAAGGTCATGGAGGCTGGAGTCTGTTCCCTACAAACAAGAAATGGGGGACAGAAAGGCTTCTGTGCCCAGGAGCCCCACAGGGTCCTGCTCAGTTTCAACACCTGCATGCTGTGGCTCCCTCCCCTTAGCTCCCGTAGAATCTGGTACCAAGGGCTCTTCATTGTGGTTCTTTTCCCATAGAACTGCTTGTTTATCCTCCACCAAACTTACCTGGCAACAATTGGACTTCCCTAATCTGCCCAACCTATTTCCCACCCCAAGTCTCCAGGCTGCCTCCAGAGCTATTGCAAAGGCTGGGCTGTCACCTGGTCCCCTTCCTTCCCTCCCTCCCCATCATCCTCTCTGAGTTTTCCTTTTCCTATAGAGCCAGAGCACCTGCTTAGAAATGGCAACAGCCTTCCTTGGCAGGCAGCTCTGCCCAGCTCTCTTAGGCTGCGGGTTTGGCTAGGTCGGAGTGCTGGGCCCCGAGGAAGGGGCTGCTGGGACTGGCTCTGACACTCTGCCCACGGCGCCAGGGCTTAACAGCTGTCCTGCCAGGCCTGGAGGGTATCCGGGCTCTCCTGTGGATGCTGGGCTGCCTGCTGGGCCCGCCTTTGTCTTGTCCTTCTGCAATCTGGACTCAGGCCCCAACTCACAGTGTGAAGCTGCCCTTATGGGTCTGGCCAGATGCCGGGTACTGGGGAGAGGCCTGCCCTGCCCTTGCGATGCCCATATACCCAGGGTGGAGGCAGCTACAGCTGTGCAGAGACAAACCCTGTGCCAAGGGCTACAATGGGAGCCCCAGGCAGGAGGCCCCATTGCACCTGGTGAGCAGAAAGACTTCCCAGGAGAGCCAGCCCCAGGCTCACTAGCCTCCCTCCAGCTCGGTGTTATCTCAGGAACAAGGAATGCTGGCAGCCACGGGAGCTCACAGCAGCCTTCAGATGCCACAACTTTCTCATCCTGTGCTCCCCAGACTGTCTCCAGGCTTTTCTGAGTTTATATAATGTTTGCCTCACTTATTTTTTGCGCATTTCCAGCCAAATAAACAAAAGCTCCAGAACATTTCATCAGCAAGGCTGAAACGCTTGATTGAGGTCCTTGATCAGATTTCTTGAACTCTGCAGTAGGCTTGTAGGGTTCGAGTTACGGTCTAGTCCAAGGTGGCTGGTGTCCATCATCATCTTCGGCACTTCTAGTTCAATGCTTTCATCCGCTGCTAACTTGTACTGCAGGTTATTTGATCCCTCTTCCTCTCCTCGGCTTTACTCTACCGTTTCCTGGTTAGAACAATGGCTTGCTGAAAGAAACATGTGCTTGCCACCCCTGAAACCTGGATGGTGACTTTTCAGGGAGGCTGCATAATGGTCCAGTCAGACCTGGGTTCCCATTCTGACTCTACCACTTACTGATTGTAACCTTGGGCAAATTCCTGAATTGCTCCATGCCCTAGTTTTCAGGTACAAAATGGGCCTCAACAGTATTTCCCTTGGGACTTCCCTGGTGGTGCCGTGGTTAAGAATCCGCCTGCCAATGCAGGGGACACGGGTTCGAGCCCTGGTCTGGGAAGATCCCACATGCCCGCAGAGCGACTAAGCCCATGTGCCACAACCACTGAGCCTGCGCGCCACAACTGAGCCCATGTGCCACGACTACTGACGCCCTGCGCGCCTACAGCCCATGCTCTGCAACAAGAGAAGCCCCTGCTCGCCGCAACTAGAGAAAGCCCGCACACAGCAACGAAGACCCAAGGCAGCCAAAAATAAATAAGTAAACTTATAAAATCAAAACCCCAAAAAAGAGTGTTTCCCTCATGGGGTTGTGAGAATAAACAAAAAAGTGTTTTACTTCCTCAACGTGTCCCTAAGGCCTTGGTCAAAGACCTGCTGGCACATCAGATTCTCATCAAGTATTGGCCAGAAGTATTAGCTACTAATGAGATACAAAGATTGAGAAATTTGCTCCTGGAAGAGTTGACAACCGCTTCCCAAAGGCCGGCCAGTCCCGTGAGCTTTTGTGAATGGACACGAAGTATTTAACGGTGTCCCTGAGGGAGGACGGAGAACGGGAGGGAGGAAGCGGCAGTGCAGAGGTCAGGGAGGGTGGCCTTGCGAGTACATGTCCAAGTCGGCTTCTGGAGCCCATCGCTCCCTCCCTGAGAGGTAGTGGCGCGGACGTCTGTGCTCAGGCTCTGCCTGCACCAAACAGGAGCCACCGCTGCGTTCTGGCTGTCGGCATCCTGGAGTGGGGGCCCTGTTCGCAGACAACTGACACCCCGATGTTCCAGGGATGGGGGCGCACTGACTTGGAACGTGTCCTCTTGGACAGTGAAAACATTGTGATGGCGCGGATGGGTCTTCCCGTCCTGTGAGTTCCGTTTTTGCCTTGGGCCTCGGCCTCGTCTTTTAGCACTTCCAACAAGAGTTCTGTGTAAGACTTGCAGCCAGTGGGACCTTGGGAACAACAGCACTCTTGCTGAGCCGTGGGGATGCGCTTCTCCCCTTGTCCACGCCACGTGGTCCACGTTGGCCCCTGGGGGACAGGGAGGTGATGGGCTTTTATCAGGAGATACATGGAACCATTTCCTCCTCCTGAAATAGTCACCGTTAACTCTCAAAGTAAGCACTCACTCCTCTGTCGAGGCTGGTTGGTATGTTGATTCGCCTCTGCCCCTTCTGGCTATTAGGGGGACGTCAGGCTGAGAACTCGGGAAGCACTGCTGGGCCAATTTCTATGTGAGGCAGCGGGGGCACAGTATGTGGTGCAGTGGATGGACCTTGAGAAACTACTTGTTTCCCAATTTCCCCATGTGCAGATCTGAGATGATAATATTAGATGAAAAAACCTCTCTGGTTCACACAGCCATTTCCAGTGCTATATGTGTTAACAGCAAGTACTTAAGAACAGTGCCTGGCACACAGAAGGTGCTCAGTCAGGCTGAGCAAGGGTGATGATGGCAAGAGGAATGAGGAAGATCCCTGCCCTTAAGGAGCTCACGTAGCCCGGTCGCCTTGTCCCGCAGAGCTACCAGCTGGGATGGGCACTATCCTTGTTGGTTAACACTTCAGCAAGAGGGAAATACGGGACTCAGTTCCTTTGTGTTCTAGTCTCTCTGATCCCTCAGGTGCCTCATTCCAACTGAAACTGTGTCGTATGATATTGGAAAGGAATAGTATGGCTGCTTGGGGGTTTAAGAATTCATATAACGCACTCAGCCGGAGAAAACAGTTTAGAATTCACATCTTCCACCAGGCACAAACTTTTCCCACCCCAGACATATGCACGTATCCATGTTTACTAATGGGGATGGAAGGAGGGGAGGGAGCTCTGTTTCGGTATGAAAAGAACTAAAAATAAAAACCAACCAAATCAAAAACCAGGACAAAGTTCATGGTCTCTCCATTTCTCTTTAATACTGAACAGTAGTCTTTATGCAGTTGTAACATGATTTCAAGAGTAGAAGTAAGAAACATTACTGATAAACTTAAGGGTGTAAAAATATCACTTTTAAGGATAGCTAGTTGAGGCTTTTTTAAACACGTTTTTGTTTTTTTTTAAGTTTTCAAGTTTATAGTGTCATCAACATTTGTTTAATGTCAGGATTACAATGAAGGCCATGAAGCTGTTTCATTTTACAGGGGTGGTTTACTGTAGCCTAAATTCCACGATGCAGAAGCAGTGGTTCGCACACTTGACTGTGCATCAAATCCCCTGGAGGGCTTGTTAAACAGCCCACTCACCCCACCCCAGTCTGTGAGTCTGGGGCGGGGCTCGCGAATCTGCATTTCTAGCAAGTTACCAGGGGATGCCGCCGCCGCTGACGGTCCCACACCACACTTGGAGACCCACTGCATACAAGAAGCAAGCTCTACCCACAGCGGGGCTGTGAACTGCTGGCACCAGGGCTCTGGCACCGTTCTCGTGTTGGGTGCGGGGAGAGCACCATCTGGAAATCACCGCGGCGTTTTGCATTTCTAATCCTTGATCTCACTTCTTTTGTTTGTACCTTCTAGTTAATTAAAAATAAAACGCCGTAAGGTTATTTATCCTTGAAAGGAAAAAACAATCGTTTAGTCCTGCTGAGCACTGCCACGTATTACACACTCTGTTTTTAATTACATTAATTTTTTATTACAAATGAGCCGGTGAAAGCTTACTTCCACTTACAAAAACCAAATCCATCATCATTTACAGCTTGCTTTCTTTGGCCCTTTCCGGGTTTCCAGGCCACCCCCCAACCCTGCGCGTTCTCCCAGCCTGGGTCAGCCAGGACGTCATAACATGGCACTTAGAGCAGTTCCAGTAACTTATTAGTGGGACACCTGCCTGGCCTCTCCTCACCTCGCACAGACAACAGGGCACAGACGCACTATCTACCTGAGGATTAGGACGGCTGTCTCTCCCGGAACCGACTAACTGTGGCGTCACAATTCCCATTCAGTAGCAGGGTCTCAGCCAGAACCTACTTTCTGCAGAGCAGGAAAGAACCGTCCTGAACTCGGTCCCACCCCGGGGCTGACGGAAAGCTGGGCTGGAGTGGAGTGCTGGGCTGCCGCCAGGGAACAGGCTCAAGAGCTCCGGTCAGCAGACAGCAAAGCCAGGTGGTCTTATTTCTAACACCCCTGGATAATCAAGTGGCTTCCGGGTTTGATAACTCATAACCTTTTAAAAAAAAAAAAGGTAAAATATACTTTCTCACAAAGCGTCTGGCTGCAGCTGGCAAACCAGGACCATGAAATGTTCATGTGAAACCCCGGCAGTAGGGCAGGTGATCGGACAATCCCAGTCTAAGCACAGCTCCCATCTGCACGGCCTCGGGGAAGGGCATTTCTGGACAAAGGTCACATCAGAAGGAAGACAGCGCCAACACATTAGCTTATGTCGGAGGGAAACCAAGTTCTTTTTCTTTTATCCTCACCTCCCCAAGCTTCTGTCCTAGTAAAGAGACTTATAATATCATATAACAAAGAACTTTCAGCGCATGGAGATCGCAGCAACGTGACCAGAGCGCCAGTGGTTGTCCCAAAGCAAAAGACATCAAGTGGCTGGGCTGAGGCGGGAGCGTGACAAGCCACTACCAGACTACGTCATGTCACTGAGGTCAGCCTGGTCCAGACAGGGTGCAGGCTCCCCGGTGCCAAGTCTGGACTGCAACCCACCCAGTGACTCCCATGTCTGCTGCGGGAGCTGAAAGTGTTTCAACTCTGAACAAGAGGACTACTGAGCGAAGTGACCATAAGTCCTTCTGAGGCTACCGTCAGGGATGCTAACACCCCAGAAGTCCGCTAGCTTGGAGCTTCGGCCCCAGCCTGGGGGACCCGGCACCCGGCTTCGGTCTCCAGGTTCACAACAGTGCCGTCCTAGGCTCTGAAGGGCTGTCCTCTCTACTAAGAACTCTCCTGGGGTTCTGGACGCGACAGCAGCCTCCCTGTGAGCGTTATCAGGCAGACGTGGTGGGACGGCACATGTTTTATAGGTAACAGACTGACACGGGCCTTGCAAGGCAGCAGCTCCTTGTTTTCAGCACAAGCATATTCTGTGAAGGATGGGAGCTGGGCAGGACAGAGTCTTACCACCTCCTGCCAGGGCAGCCCAGGGGCTGAGCTGCCCCTCGAGCAGGGCCCTGGAGGAAGAGGCCGCTGCGCCTGACGGCCCCTCGGGGCCCCGTCCTCGTGTCCCGACTGTGGTCGGGGACAGCGCCACCTGACTGCAGGGCTGAGGACCCTTTGGCTTCACCTTCTCTCTGCTCTTGATGGACAAAGAACAGTCTTCAAAAAGAAAAAAAAAATCTTAAAAAACCTGGGAGTGGAAGAAATGCCAACGAGAGTTAGAAGAAGAGGGAGCACTGACGGTAGTGCGTTCCGTGTTTTAGAACTTCAGCTTTCCAGACAGTCCGAATTTTGTTTTGTTTACAAATTTGTCCTGTGTACAAGGTAACGCCAAATGGTCAAAATTCCAGAGTGGGAAAACAACTCCTATTTATCAGTTGGTTTGAGATCTTCAAATGCTATGCGTTCTCTAGAAAGGTGGTAATGGTCTCACTTGACAGGGAAATTACCAAAAGGAAGATCTTGGCTCTGCCACCTTCACTTACAGAAGGTAAAACACTTAGCGGAGACAGATTTCTGCTGGAGTTAAGACTACATTTTTCTTCGCAGCCCTTAATCTCACGAGGTGAGAAGGAGTGGAAGTTGCCAAGTTGTTGGCTACCAGACCCATCAGTCTGTTTAACTCTGGCTAAAAGCAGAGAATAATGGGCAAGTTACCAAGTTTCTCCCCCGACTCTGGCGTGAAGATCCTCATGTAACATACATGCTGCGACTTCCAATTGCCACACGGTAGCGGCACACAGAGCGCATTGTGATTCTTCACGGTTCTCACAAAGACAAGATCAAAAATCAGGACGAAAAGCTAAAGGTATTTCGCTTTTCCAGCTGGAGTCCCACTCTGGCAAATGCTCTCCATGGTTCATTACCCCATTCTACACCCCACCTCACCAAACCAGTGGAGGAGAAATGCTCTTCCAAGAAACAGAAGTCGAGCTCTTTCTGTTTGTTAGCCGTCATATTCTGCCAGTTTTTTAGCAATGACGAGTACAGCACGAAGTACAGAGGCTGAAGGAGAGAGAAAGCCCCACGGCTACAGGAAGTGCCTCTAAGCCTAGTAGGGGTGTCGCGGGCATCCACTCCGCCCCCCCCCACCCCAGTCCACCACTCAGGGTCAGGGGACCACTTGCAAGGAACCCAAAGCATCAGGATCACTGATGAGGAAACCTAAGCCCCTGGCATGCTCTCTCTGCCAGTCTGGAGTCTGACTGGGCCGTGGGCATGGTCTTCAAGTGAACACTGGTCTGTAGTGACTGCTCAGTCCTGGTACAACAGGGTGGGTCTCAGGATCAGGTCACGTAGGCCGGAGGTTACATCTCGGGCCAAGCAGCTCTGACAAACACATGAAGAGGCGGCCTATCGGAGAACGGCTCCTCCGAGGCCAGAAAGAGCAGTGGCCCTACAGGGAGAATGCCGTAGTGACGGAACTTTAAGCAATTTTTCTTTCTAAACAGATTCCTCTTCGGCTTTAGCCCAGTCTGGTCTACAACAGCCACTGTTTAGCAAACACCTTAAATCAGCGAGCCTGCCGACTCTAAATAGCCCCACACATTTAGTGGTTAAGCCTCGGCGTCACAGCACTTGGTCCCTGAAGCCTGGGGAGAAACTTACTCACTCATGACCAGCGTGTTCCCAACAGGCCCCGCTGACACACGTCAGTTTCAAGGGGCACAGTAAACTGGTAACACCCAGATAATGGCATGGCGTTTAAACAGGGCAACCCTGTAATTCATCAAGAAGCCGGCTGCTTCGTGTCACGTGGAAAGTGGGGATTACAGTACTGAGACAAGGTCCACATGGATATTTAAAAAGACGTGTACATTTTAATGCAAATCTAAGGACCAGCCCTGTCCTCAGTTTGTAGAAGGCTATCTTAACAAAGTCTCAAAACTCTGTAAAACAAATAATCTAGTATCCTACACCTGAAGCCCTTTGTAATAATCACTTTTTTTCTAATTTGAAAAGAAATAACTTATATGTCACATAGAGTTGAGTGTAAACGTGGATGTCAATCACCCTTTTAGTTTTATAAACCTGCTTTTAGCTTTCATCAACAGGCAGATTTCCTTACCTACCATGATATAATACCCTTCTTTAAAAAACTGTTACAAATATTTATTAAAAAGTGCAATTCAAAGGTTAGCTAGGCAAGTACATCATTACAAACCACACACACACACACACACACACACACACACACACACACACACAGAAAACAAAAGCCCAACACAAACAAACGATACAAACAAAACAAGAAAAAAAAGCGTGCTGAGGAGTGGGCCCCAAGAGATGGGGAGCTGGAAGTCAAAGCTAGAACTCCACCCAGATGTTGCTGTGCTTCCCAAGTGCAAAAAAGATAGTGAGGAGAGACCTACAGCCTCCACTGCCAAGTGCTGGCTCTGGGCACAGCTGCTACTTCAATATTAGGTTTTCATCAGGGAGGTTATAAAAATATCCTATATACATGTGTACACGGGAGGCATTTTAAAAGTCATCAGAAGCGTGAAGGGTACAGTGTCTCAGCAGTTTCAGCTACTAAAACCCAACTGAAGTGTCTGTCATTTAAATTTCGATTGGCTCAGTTATTTGAATGGATGATAAAATTGAACTGTCATCTCAGGGAAAAAGGAACCAAGTTCACCTACCCATCCTTGCAATCACTCACAGGGTAAGAAAAATCTGGTCCAGAACTAGCCTTCTTGACATTATAGTTTCTGAGTAAATGTAATCAACGTGCTGCCCCCCCCCCCCCCCCCAGCCCCCAAGGCAGAGTGCTGCAGGAATAAAATAACTGCCGATGCCACCACCTCGGGATCTCAGTCCACTCACGTGAGCTGCTCATCTAAGGGTCACTCTAGAAATGCAACTTGCACCTCTAGGGAGGAGGCTGTAGGATAGCGGCATGAATCCAGCAAGGGCCTGACCCTGGTGACCTCACCCGCCCTCTCCAGCTGTGTCCTGCTGCCCTGTCCTCCCTTCCATTCAAGCCACAAGTTGCCAGCACCCCCAAAGCCCAGTGCTTTTCATTCTTTTCCATTGGTTATTCCTACCACAAAAAACTGTGCTCGGGGAAGCACTTTCACCCTAGCACTTATCCCTGAAAAACCAGTCACTGCATCTTCTGTCACAAATTACTTCCGAGCCCTCTGTCCCCACTAACCGCCAGCTTTCAGGGGCAAAGGGACGCTGCCGCGACAGGATGTGAAACCCACCCAGGGGCCCACATCCCCGATGGATGCCCCTGGATGGGCCAGCGCGTGCTGTCTGGCGGGGGAAGGGTCTGAGCCGGGGGTGGGGGGCAGGAGGAGCTGCCAAGACGGATGGAAGGAGCAACAGCCAACACGAGCCGAGTCTGCGAATTTTTCTGGATTCCTCGAAGGCCCTCCAGGGGGAGCGAGGTCCAGGGGGGCAAAGCAGGGCCCGCTGTCCTCGGATCCAGGCCAGGGGGCACCAGGAGTGTGCAGTCGTCGACTTCCTCTTCCCGCCGGCCCTCCCCAAGCTGGGCTGAAGGACCTGATCTCCATGGTGGGGTCACAGAGAGAAAAGTCAGCGCAGGCTGTTTCCAGGCGAGGGACGCGAGGGGCGGGCACACCGTGCGCTGCTTCTCCCTCTCCCCTCAGGTTCCTGTGCAGGAGGAAGCGAGCCGGGGGCCACGCTGTCACAGCACTAAGAAGAGGATGAGCACGACCAGGAGGACCACGAAGAGGACAGCGATGGCACACCACTGGCGCCGATCTGGAAGGCAGGACACGAGGGTCAGCTCTCCCGGGACTCGACGTCCCCCAAGATACAGTGACAGGAAACTTAAGGCAACACCTGGATGCAGACAGAATGGGCAGAGGCCCTGAACCTGCGCGGGCACCTGGACTCTTACCGCTGCTCTGAACCTGCCCGGGCACCTGGACTCTTACCGCTGCTCTTCCTGGCCTGCACTGCACGTGCATTCACAACCCTGCCCGTCCCCTGAAAGCCAGCCTTGTAACAAGTACCTGCTTTGTGTCTCAAGTCTCTAATTAAAATCTATGGATCACGGTTCTCTTCTGGCAGTTACCACATCCCTGGAAAAGATGTTGGCATTGGTATTACAGATCAAAGCTCGTCAGCTTTAATCTCCCACCAAAATCAAATCATTTAAACAGTAATCATGTTCTTTTCTTAATGAGCACAATGGAAGGATAGAAAGGAGATGAAAGCTACTGCTGGTCACTTCAGGAAACAATGAGCTGAAAAAGCAAGCTGCAGTGATCACCGGGGTGATGAACTTCACACCACCCCTGGGCAAGAAAGATCACTTAACCAGTAACTGTGTTGAAGTAACTGACACAGCTTATCTATAAATAAAAGTGGAATGTCTTTTCTGAAGCTTTCTGCCCTACTCACAATTTAGAACAGGTGCAGTAAACAAAGTAGCCAGAATCCATCTAAATGGCTGAGAGCAAGGAGGCCCCGAGGGACAGAAGGGCCCACACAGGCTCCCGCCCACAATCCTGACTGTGTCCCCCTAACTCTCAGGGCTGCTGGGAAAACTACACAGCACGAATACCCTTGCACCCTCTGCGGGCCCACAGTCGGGGCACAGGATGCTGTCTGTCGTCAGGACGCACCCTTCACTTGGGCAGATGTAGGAAGAGCAAGCCTCTCCACAGAGGAGCCCTGCTGTTTTGCACGAAGGGTCAGGCTGAGATAAAGCCTGTGACAATGCAGCTCAACTGCTGGAAGTAAGAGTTCCATTTAAGTAGAAATATAAAGGTACATACACTGATTCACCGAAAGTTTATTTGAAAGCCTGCAGATTTTCGCACACCAGAGCTACTGAGAATCACATTATAAAAAGGTCTGAATCTAAGAAAATACACTGCAGAACTCTCCACAAAGCAATGCGCCAAGTCCACAAAACATGTACTTCAGTTACTTAAATGCCACGGACGGCAAAGTCTTAGAACCGGCCAAGAGAAGCGCTACCAAACAGTAGTGAGTGAAGCAAGGAGCTCCCAGTGGCTCATCCTGCTCTCCATCACACACGCCGGAAACTCACTTAGTAACTGGGGACTAGGGCCAAGACCTCAAGTCCATCTGTTCCTTTTCTGAAACAAGACTAGTCCAAAAGGTGTGGGGAAGCAGAGCTGGCCTTTAAGAGTAATAGATAATAGATTATGGTATTAAAAGATAATAGTGTTAATCTGTTTATCACTTCAGTGGTCCAGAAAACTCAAGTACCTAGCATTCTTTCATCTATTTTAAAATGTTTATGACAATTTAAAAGCCCTCTCATTAAAATGATTAGTCTATATTCTAGGATGATACAGTCAAGGTAAATGCTTCCTAACGAGGCATCCTGCCATCTCAGACCTGGATTTCCAATACTGATCCAGCTTCCCGTCAGCCTCTACCCAACCCTCCTCCCACCTCCACTCACTTTCTCTTCTGCAACTGAACTAAATAGGGGTTTTCATCAAGGAGGACAGCCATCACACAAGCTAGCACAACCCAGGAATGCTCTTTTAAATGCACTTTCCTCTGAAGTGTTAAGTTGCTTCTAGGAAGCATGAACTGGGCAACCCCTAGCTGTTACCCTAGCAGACTTACCCCCAGAAGGGGTGGGTACTAACCACAAGGGCTCTTGTGACCTCAAGTCACAAAACCAGCTTTTTGCAAGCTCAGGACCTGCCTCAAAAAGTCAGGGGGAAAAAGGGGACTCCACAGGTTTTTCCCCCTCCCAATATAGTCTCTTCCCCTAAAGAGAAAAGATGAACAACAGAATTTGGGAAAGTGAGGGGAAGAAAACCTTGGTATCCACACAAAAGAATATACTTTTTGAGGGCAGGAGATTGACAAGATTAGTCTCTCTTGGGTCATTCAAAATAGTAAGCATGGCGTCTTGGGTGATTTCTGCCCAGGAAGCAGCCAGCACTGGGCGGGGGGGGAGGTCTCGCCTCTGCAGGGCTGTGGAGCGTGGGCGTTTAGTTACTGCCTAATCAAACTTCAGCGTGTCTTGACACTCTTTATGCACAGGCTTGGTTGAAAAGCAGTGAACTTTCCTAAAAGTTATGGAGGAAAACAGAGACAAACACAAATTGCCTCGCTGTCAAATTGAAGCCAACACCGCCAAGTAGGAGGCCCCGAGCAATTCTCTGGGGAGCAAACAGAGATTAAAATGAGCCCCACAGGCAAGCTGTCCAAACCTAAGGGCCTTTCAGGCTAAAGGCTCTGTTTCCTGGCTCTCTTTCTTAGACAAACATAACTGAAGTTCTTACTTTGCTCCCCAAACTTTTCTTCTGGGAGCAAGTAGGAGAAGGCATAAGCAGGCCTAGTGCTATTTATACACACGGAAACACTTATCACAATGCAAGTACTTTTCTAAATTATTCATACCCAGAATGCTGGGGACAAGGACACAGTGCATCTTTGTTCCGCTGCTCTTCTCCAAACAAAACTGGTGCTGAAGTAGCTACTTGACTTTGCGACTAATACATAAACTAGTGAGAGATCTGGTTGAAATTGGTTATATAATACTTCAGTAAAACGCTTTTTTTTTTTTTTAAAGAGGGGTCGGGTGGAAGAGGAGAGAACAGAGGGAAGCAGGAGAGGACTTTGCAAACCTCCCTCTAGGTGTGTGGAAGATGAACTAAGCTGGTGCCTGCCGCAGGCAATGAAGAGCCTGCTAGAAGCATGAAGATTTTGCCCCTGGAGAGAATGAAGGAAACCGGGAAGCTAGGAGCTTCCCTTTGTCTTGAATATAACAGGTCCTTTGCCCCCAGGGCCATCTTCCACCTGTCTTATCCTTTATTTTTTTTCAAACAAACATTTACTATGTACTAATACATGAGAGACACCCTTAAACGCTTGTACACTAATTATTATTTCATTTAATCCTCACAATGACCTTGAAGAATGTCTCAGTTCCTCCCTTCACCCGGAGACTCCCACAAATAAAGGGAAAAAAAGATACTGGATTTTCTTTTGACTTAAAAAGGTACTATTTCTCATATAATAGGGAAGATGGGTTGTAGTAACAAAAAGAATAGTCACTGGAAAACATCTTCCTACACAGTAACTAATTTGAAAAATGTTGCTTCTTTATCTCCAGCCTGGTGCAAATTTGCTGGAATAGTTTACTACAAATTTAAATAAAAACAGTTTAAATGAGATCTGCAAGGCCATCTTATTCTGAAATGGTAGAGGTTTTTCTTTCGGTGAAAAGTCAGTCCAGGAGAAACAGTAACTGGCTCTTAATTACTGTTTTAAAATGAATTCCCTATTTTGGCAAGGAAATAGGAAAAAAAAAGGAAGGATTTTGTAATTGTAAAGAAAGTTACTCCACCAGAAGGAACGTCATCCGACACCATCAGCCTTGCACGGTGCGGACCACAAAGGCACTTCCCAGGTGAAGGCCACGAGCAGGAGACAAAGCCCGTGCGTGCTGGTCTTCTACTCCCTGACCCCAAAGCATGAGAAAAATGTGCCAGAGGAAAGGGATCTGAATGGGCACACCTGTGAGAGACCCCCTAGACTGTGTCTCTAGAATTTAGTAAGAATTCTCGAGCTTAAAAGCGCATACATACCACTGGTCATGTGAGATACTTTTGCAAGTTTCTTCATCACATTGTCCAGCCGAGACTGAGTGCTCTCCAACTCGTGAGAGAAATCATCCAACATACTAGAAAGACAAGCAGACGCAGGAGGCAGCTGGTCAGCACAGTCTCCAGATACACTGGCCATGGATCTGGGCCTCAGTTTTAGCAAACATCCAACAGGCAACGTTGGGGTCAAGCCCCCAGTCTTTTATCCTTAGGACAAGGTATGTTTTTGATTTCAGAACTTTGGAAATTTAAAGAAGTAGTAAGTTACATACACTGTGTATTAGCCAAGACCCCAGCAGGGTCTGGGACAGTCCCCATAATCAAACACACAAGTTACTATTTCTGCAAAGAAAACTATGAGGAGTCATAGCTGCAGTCAGTTCAGGTTAGGTTTTTCTGTAACATGAGTTTGCTGAAAAATTTTTTTTAATTTTGAATTTTTTAGAGCTTTCTAGATTTCAGAATTGCAGACAAGGCCAGTGTGGACCTGACCATACAATAATACAAACTCAGCAGCAGTGCAGTGTAGCAGAAAGAACGCGGTGTGAAGCCAGACAACCAGGCTTTGCCACTTGCTTCCTTGGACAAGGGACCCTGTTTGCTTATCTGTAAAATGGGGCAATCCTATCAGCGCAGCTTCCCTGCCAGGGTTCCTGTCATACACAAAGCACTTTACAGCAGTGTGAGTTAAGAAATACACTTTGATCAAATAAGCACCTCCTTGAAGGCACCCTGTGCTTTAGCATAAAGCTGGCGGCCTCAGGGCTGAGTTCCTGACAGTGTGTGCACCTCATCTACACCCACAGAGGACAAGCTCACACTGGTTGCTGTCCAAGGTGCAGGTGGGAAAGAAGACACCAAAATACTTATACCAACGGTGTTTAATTTCATAAATTACTAAGCATTCCAGGCTTTTCAACTTAAGATTCATATGTGATTATCCTGAGGCTGGAACGTGACACACCAATTAGCACCGGTGGGCGTATTAACCACGCTTTATTCCCCTGGCAGCATCAAGGGCAGCTAGAACTACTGGTCTTGGGCTGTGCCCACATGAGGCACCTGAGAGCCCTGCAGGATCCCGGCAACCAACTCCTCATGAAGTCAATCATTAAAGAAACTCCATGCCGACAACTAAATAAACAAGCCTTTGTCCCTTCACCTGAATTTTCAAATTGAGACATTTGCTGCTCATTTTAGATCCTGGTAGCATCTGGGCCCTGCAGCTGGCAGACCTATCCGGGCAGGGCCAAATGCTGAGCTACTTTTCTTACTGAAGACAAAAATGGGTAAGCCATCCAACCTCCAGCCCAAGTACACCCACTAACCACCCACTAACCAAGTTTCTAGCCCGGCTCCAACTAACTCAGCGCTGTCCAAAAGAAATACAATGTGAGTCACATATGCCGCTTAATATTTTTTAGTAGCCGCATTAAAAGGGGGGGGGGAATTAATTTTAACGACCTATTTCGCCCAATATACCTAAAAATTATCATTCTGACATGTAATTTTACATTTTATTCATACTAAGTCTTCAGAATCTGGTATGCATTTACGCTCAGGGCCCTTCTCAGTTCAGACTGGCCACATTTCAAGTACTTGATGGCTGGTGGCTATTGTACTGGACAGCAGAGGTCTAAGTCCAAGACCCATGTTTTTTCCTTTTAATTTACTTACTATTTTTATTAGAGTTATACACATATACGGTTTGTAGAGCTAAACAGACCTACAAGGCCTCTTATAAAAAAACACAGCTGTCTCGCATCCCCGAGGGCCACTGCTTTCAGCCCCTCGCACTGTTCTCTTGGTGCTTTTTCTCCAGTTTTTGAAGCTACACGCTGGCACCTCAGTATCCCGACCCTGCTGACTCCGCACAATGAAAAGCTAGGGCTTGGCCCTCCTCCCATTCCATACCCCACATCAGCATCCTTCCCACTTCTCTTGCCCCTTCCTTCCTTCCAATATAACTGGGTCACAGTTTGATAAGGTCAACATTCAGGGTTTACACTATCATAAGTGAGGAAACGCTCCTCTCCCAGCTCGGGGGCTTGGGGCATGAATCACACTGCTCCTTGGCTTTCCCCTCTGGCTAGCCGAAGATTGGGCTTTCTCAGGTCTGTTGAGTGAGTAACCATTCATCTATTTTGCAGTATCTAAAATGTAAAGGTCATTGCTTCTTATTCCAAGCTCTATGTCCCCATAGATTTTATGCCGTTAAAAAAAAAATTCCTGGACTTCCCTGGTGGCTCAGTGGTTGAGAGTCTGCACAGGTTTGTGCCCCGGTCTGGGAAGATCCCACATGCCGCGGAGCGGCTGGGCCCGTGAGCCATGGCCACTGAGCCTGCGCGTCCGGAGCCTGTGCTCCGCAACGGGAGAGGCCACAACAGTGAGAGGCCCGTGTGCGCCAAAAAAAAAAAATTCCCTCTGTTCCTGTTCTAGTGGACTTTAGAGAAAAAGCAGAGATAAGAGGTTGTGTTCAGTTCACCATCTGTAACCAGAAGTCTGCCAGGCTCTACCTCTACCCAACCAGGGAAACTGTTCAAGTAATTCGTCCTTTCCCATCCCCACAATACATTTGAGGGTAAGAATGCATTTTAGACAAATTAAACTGCATGCCTAGATTCTTATTCCGCCAGCTTCCGACCTGGTCTCCCTGCTTCCAGTCTTTTCCACCGTGGTTCATCATCTAAACCACAGAACGATGGGCTTCCCCCAAAACATAAACCTGACCACGGCATTACTAACACAACCTTCGCTGGGGCTGTGTTTCCCACTGCCCTTTGAATAAAAAGTCCGAACTCCTTAACATGGCTTCTAGGGCCTTCCCTGATCTGTTCTCTGCCTCCCTGACTTCACTTCTGCAACCTCCCTCTCAATCCCCATGCTCTAGACACACTAAACCTCTCTGTTCTGTGCACTTTTTCACCCTGAAATCGTCACAGGGCTCTTTCTTCCTTCCGGTAGGCCCTCCCCCCTCCCCCGCTTCTCCCACCCAGTCTCACCCCACCTGGCTACCTTCTACTCATCCTTCTGGTCCCAGTTAAACCTCTCTTCTCTTCTCAGGGACTTTAGACTGAGTCAGGTCTGCAGTTCAGGCTATTAGGGCCCTCAAGGCACCACGCATCCCCTACCGCGGTAGCCTAGCTCTCCACTTCTGTCATCACTTAACGACTTGCACCATTTATGCAACATCTGTTCCATCCAGTGACCAGTAAACTCTGATGGCAGGGACACTGTCTATTCTCTGGGCTCCTCTGTGGATACCCAGGGGCCTTCCAGTAGAACAAGATGCCCAATTTGAATTTGTAATGAATGAATCCATAACGTTGAACACAAAATCGAGGTAGGAGAGTTTCTGAAATATCCTAGTGGAACGATTATTTTTTTCAGAAAAGGTATTTGTGAAATGGTAAAGGTATTACATATATATGGTAGCATTTAAGAATGCTGTTTTTGGTGTCATACTTCAGGAGTGCACAAAGAGATTGTTCTTAAGGAAAAACAAGTCCAGTTATATTTTCTTGCGTTTTCTTCTTTTTCTTTTTGTGGGGGAAGAATTTATCATCAGTTGGAATTAAATTGATACTTTTTTCCCCATAAAATTAAAATTAAAGATACAGAGCAGAAAGTCCAGTTGAATGTAGTGGGAGAGGCATGGGATGTTAAGTTAGCCCGTGTCCTATCCTCTTTGGGACAAAAATCTCCACAGAGCTTACACAGCTGTATCAGTTTCACATTCCCATTCACAACAATACTTCAAATACCTGTTTGGAGGAATTTGTTCCTGTTTTTGCAGGTGTTTAAAAATGTTAATAACTTTGCCTAAACCCTGTTGAAAATTGTATCTGACAGATTCGCTTCTTTTGGAGAGGCCATTCTGTGAAACAGAATAAAGATGCAGCTATAAGCAAAATAGCTTTTGGTTTTACTAGCCATGTAACTGTCAGGCTCTTTACGGGTCCTTAAGACGGCTTTTCCCGCCATTTCTCTGCGGCAAGAGGGGCATCTCGGTACTCACACTGCCTGCTCCTCCAGCTCCCCTCCGATGCGCTGGGACATGTTCTTCAGCACCCCGATGCTGCCAGAGACCAGCTCCAACTGCTCATCCTGCTGTTCCACGATCAGCTGGTGCCAGAGAAATGGGAAATCAGCAATTAAAATCCATCTTACCTGGTTCCAAGCCCAGCACTCTAGCAGCTGCTAGCTTCCTTGCCAACTCGGGACAATTCACATTCAGAAGCAAAGCCCAGAAATCAAAGGACCAGACCGTTGCCTCGGAGAACACGCTGCTCAAAAGGCTGGGTTGTAAAGCTACTGATCTCCCCTGCTGATGCAGCTTGTGAGCAGTCAGCGGGGCTTGAAACCACCCAGAGAGATTTACCCTGGTTGGCTGAAGTCCAACAAGGGACAGACAATGGCCGAAAGCACCTGTGCAGTGACCACAGACACATGGGGACGCTTGGGAAGAGGAAGCCCGCTGCCAGGGTCAAGGTCTCAATCGGCAACAGCCGGCCACAGCTTAACTACAAGAGAACGTCTGGCAGATCTCTAGATGTGGGAAAACTACGCACACAGAGTCCTTTGCTCCCTCCTCAAGGACAACTAGAGGAGGCTCTGTGACAGCAAGCAGACAACTTCAGAGCCATAGTTACTTTTAACTGTGTCGTAGTCGCCTTTTTATTAAAAAAAAAAAAGTGTGCTTGGTTAATAGCAATGTAAGTAGACAAATGGTTAAGCAGACATGCTAATAGAAGAAGAACAAAAGAACACATAACCTACATTGAATATATAAAACACAGTATTTAAGAACCAGTAGTTTTGATGGATAGATAATCCTCAAATCCCCAGATACTTTATTATTAGCTTCCTTTTATTAATACAACTACATATCAAAAGCAACAATACAAGTGTAATCAACCTCACTTTCCTTCTACCCCTTAACCTCCACCAAAGCAATCATTTTTATATATAATGGAACCAAAAATTTCAATGAAAAAACAAGGACTGAATTTTTCTCGAAGTGCCTTTGTTGAAATGAACAAAAAGCCCAGCACAGAAGTGGAGGCTGGGGAAGAGGCTGCTGTGTTTTTAAATCAATGGCCTCCTCTGTCAGTTTCGGGTGTCTGGTCTGCTTGTCCTAAGAAATCTAATCAAGATTGGTTCTCTGGAAACTGTCATGCTCTGAAGGACGTTTTAAACAGCCTTTCTATATGCAATCATCACACAGGTAGACTCAGGCAGCTGCAGGGCGAGCTCTGGTCCATCCTGCCTGTCAAGCCCCCGGGGTGGCAGAGGAGCGGGGAGGGAGGTACCTGGCCTCCCACCTCCCTGTGCTCGGCTGGTGGTTCTCAGGTACCTGCTGCTGTGCCTGTTGCTCCTCGATGAAATGGGAATTGGCCAACTGGAGCTCCCGGTCAAGGCGCCCATATTTATCCATCGTTCCAGTGCTCCAGTTCTGTCCGCCACTGTCTCCTAGCAGGGCCTGCAAGAGTGGGGCAGGGGGCAGCAGGGCAGAAGAAACAAACCATTACTATCTCTGAACAAATACCCCATCACCATGATACAAAGATTTCTCCCAGTGCTCATAAGCTGGCCTCCCTGGGGTCAGCCTTTTATGTAGTGGTGTAGGGTAGTGCCTGTGGGGTACAATTTAAGGAATGCCGGGAAGGGTACTCTCTATTTCCAAGCTCTCCCAACGGGACTCACAAATGGGCTCTGTCCCATTAAAATGCCAATAAGTGTCAACTTGAAATCAACAAACACCCATCTGTGTACTGCTTTGTAGATCTAAAGGCACTTGGTCTCTGTGGGCCAGCTCTTCCTAGCACCCTTGGAAGTTCACCAGCGACCTGTTGTAGGTTCTAGTCTAACTGATTCCAGACAGCTAGAGTCCTTTCTATCTAAGTATGACCCAGGGAAGTTTTGGTTTTTGGGAGTGGGGAGGAAAGCGTTCCCTAAAATGACAAGCAGCTAAGTCACAGCCCCTCACACACAGAAGGCGCAAGAACCATCGATGTGTATTCAGTGTAACCCACAGATAAATCCCAATGCCCTTCAGGTGAACTAAAAGGCTACAGGTTTCCCAGACAGAACTGGGGGTTGCTTCACCCGGCAGCACAGTCACAGCGGGTACGTGACCCTGATGACCCAGGCAAGCGTTGGCCCTGAAGTCAGTTCTCAACCTGGGCCCCCAGATGCCAGGGTCAGGTTTCTCAGTGTGAATTTGAGGAAGTTTGTAGCCAGAAAAGGATAAGTTTGGGAATGTTTTCCTTCCTTGAAGAAGCCAGCCAGCAATGTGAGCTGGCCCTGCCTGGAATGCCCACAAGCCTTTCTGACTTGGCCAAAGGACTGCTCAAACCAGCCCTGCACAAAGAATCGGAAGACGCTGGCGAATAGGATTCTTCTTCCTTGAAGAGCTGTCAGATCTTCTCACCAGGTACTTTTTAGCTCTGGAACTGTTAAAAGCCTACCTGACTACTTGGTTCTGTCTGAAAAGCCCTCCCATAGCCCCTCAATGTTGACATTAGCCTCACCTGACTTTCAGATGCGAATTCAGTCAAATGGCCACACCTGAGGCTAAGTTCAGGGAAGCTCAGGATGCATCTTAGGTTCTGAGGCAGTTATGAGAAGAAAATCAGGAGGCCTGAGAGCTTCCAGCAGCCCAGGGCCTCAGTCAAGAGTCTGGATGGTAACTGTCTCTGGTATAAGGCAGACCCAAGGCTTTTTGGGGGTGGCTCTGCTCCAAACTGGTTGCAGGGCTGTCAAGATTTCAAAGGTCCTGCTCGTTCTGATGCGAAGGCTCTAAGGACTCTATGGAGGATACTGGGGCCTAGTGATAATTTTTTCAAGGTCAGAGAAAGGCTACAGTGCATCATTAGGCTATGGGCAGAGAACTGGAGCTCCCGGGGTCACAGTCAGGGCTATTTTTTCTAGCTTACCTGTGGTCTACTCTTGGGGGGACATATGTCATGCTGCTAAGAGTCATCTGTGCTTTATTGTGAGGCAGTTTAGATTTCCTCAGTCTGACCTCCAGGAGTCTGGTTAGTGGGAAAGAAGATAGAGGGCCCGGAGCACCAAGGACCAGCCTGTGTGTAGGTGCCAGAGCAGGAGGTCCTGGCTAAGCAAGGAGCACCTGGTGCTAGATGAAGAATCGAGGTGGACTGTGCCTGTGTGAGTGCTTAGAGAACCCTGGCCCCGCTTTTCCTTGAAACCCTGTGACTCGGAGACATTTTACTCACCGCCCAAAACAAAATTCCCAGCCATACTTGGAAAGGCTACGTATAAACACACATTTTACTTATTTATGTTAGTTTAAATATACTATCTAGAGAATAAAAATACAAATAGAAGTAATAGAGGATAGGTGTTACTATTCACTGTCGAAACTACTGATACTTCAGGTAACTGTCACTCAACTTCTGTAAGCTGAAGCAGAAACGAAAAGGGGACTCCAAAACTTGGCCAGCCTGCGGCCGTTCACTAGCTTCTCTTAAGAGTTAGTGCCAGATGGGATGGCTAGCTAATGGCTTTCCTAGCTGCACTGAGAAGAGCAAGGAGGGTAAATGGGAAGAAAAAAACAATGACTTGGAAAATGAGATGCAGGGAAAGGAAACAGGATTAAGTTAGGTGGTATTTAGAGAGTCCTCTCCCCTTTTCAAGCTTTTATAATACTTGTTTTCAGAATTAAGTGGGTCAAGAAACACCTACAGGTATAAAGTGAGCATTTACATCATAAACTACTGATTCCTAGTTAGTTAAAAATGCCGAGCTGGGCTTCCCTGGTGGTGCAGTGGTTGAGAGTCCGCCTGCCGATGCATGGGACACGGGTTCGTGCCCCGGTCCGGGAAGATCCCACATGCCACGGAGCGGCTAGGCCCATGAGCCATGGCCGCTGAGCCTGCGCATCTGGAGCCTGTGCTCTGCAACAGGAGAGGCCACAGCAGTAAGAGGCCCGTGTACCGAAAAAAAAAAATGCCGAGCTGATTTCTTGAGTTAACAGTCTCATAAATTCAAGGACTGGGTCTCTTGTAGCTTTTATTTTTGATGTGTCAATATCTGGGCTTTGGTTTCTGAAATTAGGTTTCATAATTTATTTGTAATAACTTATAAAAACTGGACCTCACATCAAAAGAACAAAAGATACTTAAAATGGTGAAAGATTTAACACACATTAAATTAACACACATTTAAGTTTCCTCAAATGCTTTACATAAAATTTCAATCATTAAATGTCTAGTGAGTTCTATGCATAGGCAATGTAATAGCAGCTAGAAATAAAAAGAATAAAAAAAAAGAAAAAAGACCATGACACCATCCCTCGTAACTCACAAAGGAGCTTGAGGTCCAGCAGAGAAAGTAAGCAATTACAGCTCTTAACAGAGCGCCTGGTACACGGAATACGCGCAACAGGTGCAGAATAAATGGCCTGGAGCAAAGGCTCTAAGGTACGCAGAGGGTGCAACCGGAGCCCAGAGGAGGAAACCAGAGGGTGTGAGGGAGGGGAGCGGAGGCGAGGCTGCCTGCCAGCATCACTACGGGCTCAGCGCACAAGGTCTTCTGCCTGAATACATGATACACGAAGTCAGAATTTTTAAATTCCAAATATCTCTGTATTTTCTTTGATTGATACTGTATATTCTGACATTTACCCACCTGTCTATTTTTCCTTTCAGCTAATGCCTGCACAGATGAAGTTGACATCTGATCCTTCATGTCCTAATGAGATAAATAGAACACCAGAAAACAAATGAACATCCTTAAACAAAATCATGGTTAATATTTTGCACACTAGCAAAATATGCATAATTTATTATTAATTTTTAAACAAAAATACAGCATTCTTTGACTTCTATTTTCAGTCTCAAAAATAAAGGAAATAAAGAGAAGGACATGCCCTTAAAAAGAAGTAACCTGGATACTAAATTTAAATATGAGGAAAGAGAAAGTACTTCCTGGGTACCTACCATAGGCCGGAAACACTGTTAAACATGTACACATATGATCACTGACTTTCCACAATGCCCCTGTGAAGCTGGTATTACCTTCATTTTACAATTGAGGACACTAAGATCTAGAAAGACTAAGATACTTTCTCAAGGTCACATAGCCAGTAAATGGCAACCCTGAGGTATACAAACAAAAGCTGTGTTCAAGGGCTAGCATCTTTAAGTATAATACATGTAAAAAAAACCATGCACTTTATGATAAAGTATATTTACCATTACATGCCAGAGAATATTTTCAAATAGTGATAAACAGGTAACGTATTTTATTTGAGTTGCGTTCATGTGAAGTATAGACTATTTCTAACACCAGTATTTTCCAGAGTGGTATCAAAAATAATTTTGTATGCAAAGAAAAATGAATTACTTAATCTAAAAACACTTGGGGATTCCCTGGTGGTGCAGTGGTTAAGAATCCACCTGCCAATACAGGGGACACAGGTTTGAGCCCTGGTCCAGGAAGATCCCACATGCCACGGAGCAACTAAGCCCGAGTGCCACAACTACTGAGCCTGCGCTCTAGAACCCGTGAGCCACAACTACTGAGCCCATGTGCCACAACTACTGAAGCTGTGTGCCGCAACTACTGAAGCTGTGTGCCTAGAGCCCATGCTCCACAACAAGAGAAGCCACAACAATGAGAAGCCCGCACACCACAACGAAGAGTAGTCCCCGCTCACTGCGACTAGAGAAAGCCCGCGTGCAGCAACAAAGACCCAATGCAGCCAAAAATTTTAAAAATAAAACACTTTATTAAATATGAGCCATTTGCATCATATTTAACTACAACCCAATATACTTTAAAATAATTTCAGCTGAGTACATGATTATTATAATACAATTTTTCTTGAAAAAAAAAAGGATGCCAAAATACTTTATAATTTCCTGTTGGCAAGTAGGCTATTTTAGAGGTGCAAATGTTGAAGTATTAGGCTTTAAAAAACTTCTTCCAAGACCCACGACAAGTGAATGGTAGATGAGACAGTGCCACAGCTTTCCGGATTCCTACTATGAGAAGTCTGAATGACAACCACCTTGCTGCAACCTTCAAACTGCCTGATCCCTCGCTCAGCAAATACCGACTGATGCCCAGCGTGTGCCAGAGCACAGCAGTGACGATACAGACAGTGTCCCTGCCTGACGGAGTTCACATCATGGTGGACAAGAGGCAAACAGCAGTCACACACACACTTCAACAGGATGACGTGCATTTGGGGAAGGAAGGGAGTCAACGGGGCTGAAATCCAGTGGGTGAACACCACTTTAGAAAGATGGGGGTGACACTTGATCGAGACCTGAGGGCCGAGAATGAGCCCACCACAGAAAGAGCAAGGGCAGAGAATTCCAGGCAGAGGAAACAGCAAGCACAAAAGCCTGGAGGCAGGAAAGGCTCAATGCTTTAGCTTTTGAGAAGGAAGGCCCGATTGTCTGAAGGAGCCACTGTGTGCTGGGTGTCAGAGGGAGGATGTAAGACACGTCTGGCCAAAACACGCAGGGCCTTCAGGCTGCTTAGATTTTATTCCGAGGCAGTGGTTGGCAAACTTCTTCTGTAAAGGAGTAGATATTAAATATTCAGCCTTTGTCAGATTTTTTTTTTAACCACCCTTTAAAAAAGGTAAAACCATTCTTAGATCTCATAGGCCAGAGACTGCAGGCCCCTGCTCTAAGGCAATGGAAAGCCCCTAAAATATTTTGAGCAGGGCCATGGAGTATTCTGGTTCACGTTTTAAAAGATCACTTTGGTTATTCTGTGGGAAAAATGTTGGCAATTAAGCAAAGCAGAAGTAAAGAGATCATCTTACTGCCACACATTAAAGTACTGCCCACGATGGGAAAGGTGCCTCTAGGAACAAGTGCCCTGATGTTGGAGGCCTTCAACAAGAGGGTATGTGAGCCCTTGGAAATGACACTGGGCAAGTAGGGTGTCGTTCACCCACTGGATTTCTGAGGGTGCTCTACCTGGGGTCCAGCTGACCCATAAATTCTAAATTTTATCTGTTCACAAACCTCAAAAGAAAAAAAAAATTATATATATATATATATATATATATATATATATATATATATATATATAAGAAAGCCACCCACAGAAACTGAGAAAAATTTCTTAGTAAAAAAAGTATTCACCATAAAAATGGAGGTATTGGTACATTTAAAACAAGGGAAACTTAGTGATATAAGCCATGTTTCTTAAATGTTTGAGATCTACCTGAGTCAGTCACCTGAGGTGCTGTTAAAAATGCAGGTCCCTGGACCCCACCCAGCCCTACTAAGTCAGACTCTAAGGAACAGTTTAACAAGTCTCCCAGGTGAGAAGCTGTTCGAGAAGCTTCGATCCCCATAAATTCTAGAAGCCTTCAAAGGAGACCATTATGCTGTTATCTCCTGGACTGCAGGATTCCTTTTCTAATTATCAATTAAATTGGAGTTTAAGATGATATTCTGATATTCAAACAATATGAATAGTACAATCCCATTTATTTAATATATATTAATAACTACACAAAGCAAATATCTGAATTGTTCACTAGTGGGATAATATATGCTTTTTAAAAATGCATTTAATACATTTTACAGTAGCCTTTTAAAAAATAATGAACATTACTTGCATAATAAAAATATCAGCCCACATGTATGGGAAAAGTGACTTTGAAGTTCCAGTTGAACTTTGAACACTGTCTGTAGAATGTGCTTTTGCTGTTAGAAGGTAGGACAGTGAGGGGGGCAGTAATGACTGTAAAAGCACACAAGGGGGCTTCTGGGGGGTGCTGGGAATGCTCTGGAATGCTTCTGGGTCTGCTTCCATGGTTGGGATCAGTTTATAAACTCTTTAAACTGTATATTTGGGGTGCATGCACTTTTCTGTACTATTATAACTTAATAAAAATGTTTAAAAGAAAACTACTGCTCTTGAACAATGGCTGGAAGGTAAACTAGACCAACCCTTTGAAAATAAATTTGGCATTTTGCATTAAGAGCTTTGATATTTTCTAATAGGACTTATTTTAAGGAAATGATAGAAAATATAAACTGAAATAGATATGGAAAGATGTAAACTGCAGTGTTATTTACAACATGAAAGAAAAGTAGAAATAAGCATCATATCCAAACAAGGGAATAGTAACTTACGGTAAACCTATACACAATGTAATATCGTGCACTAGACATTACACTTAGGAAGAGAGTTCGGTGAACAGACAATTCACAGAAAAACACAAATGATCAAACATGAAAAGATGCACTAACCATTAATAATCAAAGAAGTGCAAGTTAAAGGATATTTTTCCCAGTTAGATTGGGAAAGATGAAAAAGATGAACACTACTTAGTGTTGATATAGGTATTAAGGAACACGGAATCTGCACTCTGCTTTTAGAAATATCATTGATAAGGTCTCTTTGCAGGATACTTAGAAAATATTAACCAATGTTTTAAATGTGCATTTTCATTCAACTTTTTAGTACTTAAATATTCAGGGTATGCTCACAAAGATGGTTCCTGAAGTATGATTTGCAATTGCCAAAAATTAACAACCACCTAATATCTACCAATAGGGTCAATGATCAAACAGATCATAATAGAACCAGGTTAGAGAAGAGGTTGAGAGCATAGTCTTTCATGCCAAAGACCTGGGTTCAAGCTTAGTTACGCTTTTTAGTAACTATGCAAAGTTGTGCAAATTACTCAATTTTTCTAAGTGCCTGTTTCTTCTGTATAATATTTTATAGGGTCATTGTGGGGACTGATAAAGTATGCAACCATTAACAAGGATAATCTAAATCTACTCTATCCAATAACTATTAGCCAATTACGGTTACGTATTGAGATCATGAAATGAAGTCAGTGTAACTGAGGAATTAAATTTTTAATTTTATTTAATTTTAATTAATTTGGATTTAAATTCAATTACTGGAAAACTTTCACATGTCTGGAAAATACATGGTGTGCAAATCAACCTTTTCAACTGTATTATAAACTCTAAATGCGATGAAGTATCCCCAATGAAAAGTTCACTTCTGAATTGACATATCCTTAAGCGTAAAATATATGCCAGACTTAGAAGTTTTAGTAAAAAAAAGTTTTAAAAATTTAACAAAAAATCTCTATTACTTTTATATTGATTATATGTTTAAATAATAATCTTCTGGATATACTAAGTTAAAAAATACATTAAATTCACTGTTTCTTTTTACTTTTAAAATATGACTACTAGAAAATTAAAGATAGCTTGCATTTTAGTATTTCTATTGGACAGCACTGGTCTAGATATATCTGTACTGACATAAGACTATGTCCACAATATTTTTTCATAGAAAAAAATTACAGACTAATGTCATTTCTTTTAAAAGTGTACTTCAATGTCTACAAAATGGCTAGAAAAAATACTTAAAATTGTGATTTTTTTTTAGGGAGTGGAATTACAGAATGGAGGGACATTTCACCTTTCTTAATCAAAATTATCTGCATTTTAAAAATAGTATGAATTACTTTTAATTTTAAAAATTAAAATAAAAAATGCTTATGACTGCATAATAGTATGATCACAACTACGTAAAAAACACAACAAAAATAAAAATAAAAAAAAAACACAACAAAGTTTTGTGTTTACGTTTCTTATTTTGAGTTTAGGTTTTTCTATTTTTTCCTCTTGTAAAATTTTTCTAATTTTCTTTGAAATGAGCACGCGTTACTTTAATGAAATACACGGTTTAAAGTTCCAGTTTAAAAATTTTCTGTTTAATAAAATATGTGTGTGGGGGTATATGTTAGCTCTGATGGTCAGTGAACTCAACAGCTGTGTGGTACGCATCCTGTTTGGGGCCATGGCAGATGGTAAAGAGCTATGGCCTTCACTTTCAGGATGGTACTTTTTTTATGTAGTGTAAAAGTTGCCAGATACCATACCACAGATTACCTTCTTATTAGGATATGGAATTTTAAACTATGTCACTAAACAGTTTTGAGCATTTTTTAACCACCTGTCATGCCAAAAACATAATTACTCATCTTTTTTTTAAAAAAAAAAAACAGTTATTTGTTGTTGTTTTGGCCACACTGTGCAGCTTGTGGGTAGTTCCCCGACCAGGGATCGAACCCGGGCCCTTGGCAGTGACAGCGTGGAGTCCTAACCACTGGACCGCCAGGGAATTTCCTCATCTTCTTTCTAATACAAGAAGTTTAGAACAAGCAGTCAAGACAGCAGTTAGCATCGATAAAAAATGGCTCACCTGCCAAAAGAACAACAACGGTCCCGGTTGTTTATGCTCCTGTTCCCATTTTATGCCATCTTCCAAGCTGAGTGAACGGCACACTGTAAATCCCAGTGCTTCCCACTCAGAGGAGTCCCATCCCAGTGTCATTTGTAACCACAGAGTATGACTCACCCTTTTTGATTAACCAAAGCCATTTCTATCTTGACTTATAACTGACTACCAACAATTCTTGGGTTTTAAGAGGTTGGATTTTGGGGAGGCGGTGCTATAGTTCTGACTGCCTTTGAAAGTTTAAACAAAGTTGGAGAATGTTAGTGAGGATCATTTAATTGATAAAACTGAGATCCAGAGAGGCTAAATGACTTGCCACGCTGAAAATGTATTAAGGTCTCAGCTGAGCCTAGAACTCAGGTCTCCTCACCTCTCTCACTGTTCTGCCATTCACTGCAAAACCTTTCACTACTAAATTAACCCCACGTCACTTCTGCAATAGATTTCCATAACACGAACATTTCACAAGCGAAAACTCTGATGTATACGTGACTCCACAAATGTAAAAATGATGACCTCAAAAATACCAAGGTTATATAAACAAAAACAAGAATGTTTTGCTTTCTTTAGTAAAAACTGCCAGCAAAACTTAATAAAAACTGTACGAACTTAAAAGACGTTTTGAAAAACATATACAAAACTTTTTAAACAAAAATGACTTATTAAAACACAGTGGACATTGAGAAGATAAACAAAAGTAACTTATTAAAAAGCAAAAACAGTGGACGTTAATTGAGAACAAACACAAGAGAAAGATTTAGTTCTTCAGGCAGAACAGCAACAACAGATGTATAATGCCCTAAGACGGAGAAAGCACAATTGGCATACACTGTGGATCAAAAGGTATTCCTTTAAGCAACTAAATGAAAACCCACTGATAATAGTAGCAGGAGCTTACATAAACTTGTGATGTACAAATTCCTAATCTGGGCTTGGTCTTGTGTTTCATTTCCCCAAATTGCTAACTCTCTGATCCCATAATATCAGTGTCCTCCAAGTGGAACCCAGAGAGTTCTGGATACAAATACTGTTCAGCTGAATGCAATAATATTGAATCAACACAATGTTTTTAAAAAAAATCAAGTTAGCATCAATTACCACTTCTCTTCTACAAAACCTCAATTAGAATTTATTAAAATCAGATGAGCAAAAACTCAGTTAGGTACTATTAACCCATCACCAGCAAATAGTAACAGCTTTCAAAAAGGAGTCATAAATTAGAAGAATGATTAAAAACTCTAAAACATTCAGTTGGGTCACACAGTTGAGTACAGTTTAGATCTCAACTATAAAAGGACTGCAACATTATGAAGTATGGACTTGATTTGGAATACTTCTTTCAAAGAATGTACTTTAAAAAGCTTTTCAATTATTATAAAATGAACTTTGGATTATACTTCCAATTACACCAACTCACTTAACTTTTACTATGTTGACCTCTGAATTTCAATTTGCAGAATTTACAAGTACTACCTTGCAGAAAAACAAATATAATGGTTAAAGTCAAGAATATACGCTTCACTGCAAGGCACCATTTAAATACCAACATCTACAGAAGCCATTTTCAGAAAAATCTATCACAAAAAATTTAAAAAGCACATACTACATTTATAAAATAAGGAGTTGGGAAATTATTTACCTTACCAAAAAAATACATCACCCAACAACAGGGCTTCCTTATCAGAATAGCCTCTGAACTGGCTAGAGACTAGGAGCGTCTAATCCAAATGTTCATCGTATAGATGGGGCACCTAGGTCCAAAAAGGTTACTGCCCCCATTACAATGTGGGTTTATTTCTAAACAATTTAGGTACATGGATACAGAAAGGCAACTAATGAGTAAAGGAACAAGAATATTTAAAGTGCAGTGATAACCTACCATCTGAAATAATTTCAAAAGGAAATCACATGACATGGAGTCTTTGGCAAGCACACACCAAGGTTCCCGCCTAAGATGACTCTTAAAAAGCCATATGTTAGCACTGGTATGATCCCAAGTCTTTTTATTCAAGGAAGCTGCTTTCTAGTACATATGTTAAAGACAGGTGGTTCTCCTACATCTAGTTATGCTAATCAACTGGCTTAGCCATATAGTTTCAAAATACAAACATATCTTAACGATACAAGATTTCACTTAAATGCTATTTTCTCTTAGGTTTTTTTAATAATAGGTTATTATCTAAATAATTTGAGACTGCAGATTTGTTCCCTTGGACTGATTTTTTACACGCTGATAGATGCTTACTTGCTCTGGATAACTCCCGAAAGGCTGTCAAGCCGTTGTATATGGAAATGTCAGTAAATGGGTTGCAAGAGTTCCAGAAGCAATTCAGATGGTGGAAGAGGCCGCCATCCAAACCCAGTAAGAGTACCCTTCACAATGCAAAGGGATTACCAATCAATCAGGAAAGCAAATGGTTTCTACAATAGCAGTTCTTCTTTTTGTCTAGAAATACAGTATACTAAGAAGTAAAGAGGAAAAAAGATAACTGCTTTGGAGGAATGAGAGGTATGGACAGGAAGATTACAGTAACCTTCCCAAAGCCAGCAGCCTACTCTCTCATTTTTGCTCTGAGAAAAAAGGCTGACCGATACTAAAAACAGATTTCTTTTCAATCAGAGAAATATGTAGAAAACTGGCATTTAATTCATATTAAAAAGGAGTTTCAGAGTTGACCTATTAGTTTAAATTAAAGGGAAGAGTTCAGAGAAGTCTGGCTATTTCTTGCACAAATTACACAGTAAGATCACATCCCTTACCCTGACGACTTGCCGAGTACTTGTGATGAAAGCTTTTCTTATACTCAATTCGGTTGCATCGAGGTTGAATTTCCTAGGATTTGCTTCGACTATGCGTGGGTCAAAAAGTCAAGGTAAAGCAATTTCATCATCGAAAACCTAACAACCAACATCATGTGAAACCACAGAATCTCTCACAGCAATAAAATCTGGCCCAGCGTTTCTGAACACATAGTCAACTTGGCACTAATCATTCTCAAACTTTCTCTGCCCACAGCCAGATGAGGATCCTTGTGCCCTGAGGCAGAGATGACCTGCCTGGGTTCACTGCAAACCCATGGGTGTCTGACCACAGCTGAGCTGGGCTCTTCCAGATGCCTGCCAGCACGTTTTTTGACTCCAGATCACCTTTCCCAGGACAGCTTTTGTCCTGGGAAACAGCAAGGTGTTTTCATTTGCCATTCCAACTCATTCCACTTCTGTCAAGAAGCTAACTCTGCTTCTTAACCTAGAGATCAAGGCTTCTTTTGTGAAGCTTTCCTGCTCTCCTCACCCCCAGCTTGGTTCTGCTGCCCCGTGTCACTCACATGGCTCTCTGTACTTATCTCTTATCATCTGCAAGTATACACTTGTGTCAATATTTGACTAATGTCTGTTTCTCCCGCCCCCAAGTCCCTCTATACTCCCACGGTAAATTCTACAAGGGCTGGTATAGTTTTGCTTATCAATCCAATCTCAGTAACTAACAAAATGTCCAGCACATAGCACACTCAATAACTATTGCTGAATGACGAATATCTATTAAAACTTTTGTCCTCTTATCTCACAATTTCTCTATCTCCCCCAATCTTTTTCTCATCCCTCCTACCTCGAGGGAAGACATATCTCCCTGTAACTGTGCTTTTGATCCCACTCCCTCACATATTTTCTTCCACTAGTTTTAGAGAACACATTTGTCTTTTAATAATTTAAAAGGTGCCCCGGGGTCATTGTGATTAATAGAAATTATGGACTCCACATCCAGTCTGACTCCAGGGTCCAAGCTCAAAATCACTGCACTATGCCACCTTCACGTTGCAGGATTTGACTACTCTACCTTAGATTACTGGTCAACGATTTTAAGTGCGTCATGGTACGAATAAGGGCAACATCAATCAACGATAAAAGGCAATATCTAATCTATGTACTTGAGACATCTAGATGAAACTTGTCCATCTGTCTGCTTGCCTCATGTGGCACAGACACTGCAGAAAAGGATATTGATGGTTTCGTCAAGGTCCTCTAGATCCCATTCTATGCTCCGGAGGTTGTTTCTCAGCTCGTTGGTGGTCCAGTCGATTTCTTCCCTCGTGGCTGTGGATGGGTCCTGGAGGAGCTCTGTCCATCTCTGAAACAATCCCTGTGCAGTGTTGACTGCTTTCTGTACCTCTCTGTATTCAGGTGAAGGGAAAGGAGAGATATGAGACAGCATGTTCCATGAGCAACTTATAAGACTTAGGTGAACCTTTACGATCAGACACCATCCTCAGCAACCACCATTCCCCAAAGTGTTTTTAAGTCGTTACAGAAGGCTCTTCATGGACAAATATCAAAGTTCAAAACTTTAAAATAATAGGCTGAGTATTATATTCTCAGCTCATTTCAAAATAAAACAGCCTCTACTTAAGCAGCTATAATTACCAAGTCTGTTTGTGAAGGACAAAATTTAATTTTTCTAACGGACTGTCCTTAAAAGTAGTCTAAGAAGCTATAATATAAATTAACTAAAGGGCCGTTAACATTCACACATGTTGCCAGTTGGAGTGAAGTAATTTATATTCAGAAGAAAAGGTTCTAAAACAACTTTCCTTTTCCTGGGGAGGTTCGTGTGGAAGAGGGGTAAAAAAGGATAGAAGGAAAGGTTACTCTTACACAGCTAGTCTTTTAGAAGGCAACTATTTTAATCTGAGACATTTTAAAATCCAACATCTCATTAGAAGATTCCTAAACATTATTAGCTTTAAATTTATCTACTTTCCTGGATTAAGCAACTCTGTACAGCAGATTCGTGTGCTTCATGTTTAGGGAGTGAGACTAGGCCATTAAGAGCGACGGCCTATTTTGCTTTTAGATTAGATACAGTCACAAGGTCTTAAAAACTCCTCGCCTGCCCCTGCCATTGGGCCAGTATCCACCATTTAAATATTATAATCTAACACTACCACATATAAAAGCCATAAAGGACTCATTTTATAATCATGGTCTCTTGTGTACAAAGATTATAACCTTCATGCTCCTAAACTAAGAGATCTGTTTTGATCCTTCTATGATTTCTTAACCAGTTCTTCTGGGTGTTCAATCAGTGTGTTCGTTACCTATTGCTTTAAAACAGAAATTGCACGCATCCTATTCCCTCTGACATTTCAAGTACCAGAGGAGACAGCACTAACAACATGAAGAAAGGTGACTTACAAAATCTTGAACTGTGAATACTGATGAGAGCTAAAAAGCTGAATGTTAAATAGAGAATACAGCCATTGGGACTAGCTGAATAAATCACTGAGCTACGCAGCCAACAATGAATCTACCAAGGTTATGTTCATAACCAGTTCACGGGTTAGGCAAGTCCCCTCATTTTTCCTCTCACATCAGTCTTATGCTTTTAGCGCCAAAGAGAAACTCTATTGAGACAAAAAGAAGAAGGACTAAGTAAGTGAGATGTCAATCTGCTATTTTTACTCTATACTGAGGTTTCTGGCTGATTTGGTAAAGAAAGAGGTATACATTTTGCCATAATATGAAGTACTTGGTTTATTTGTAAGTGTTGAATGTCCTCTATGACAACAGAAGACAGAGTTAAAAAGGTATCTAAAATGATATCTCATTCTAAAGAATATGAAAATTATCAGTTCTGTAAAGGAAATCTGAATTCCTTTTCGAGAACTAGAAGCCTCAGGCTAGGGTATACCACGTTCTCCACACCAGTAGACAACTAGGATGCCGGAATTAAACTCTTAAGCAGTGATCCATAAACTTTTTTGGTCTCAGGACTCTTTTGCGCTTTTCAAAATTACTGAAGACTCCAAAGAACTCAGATTAATGTGGACTCTATCTATTGCCACTCACTGTATTAGAAATTCAAACAGATATTTAAAAATATTTACCAATTAAACATAATGATGAAATTATGATATGTTAATGTTTTCGCCAAAAATTTCTAAAACAACAATATTTAGTAAGAAGAGTGGCACTGATTCACATTTTTGCAAATCTCTTTAATATCTGGTTTAACAGTAGACAGGTGGATTCTCACATCTGCTTCTACATTCAGTCTGTTGACACACGTTTTGGTTGAAGTATATGATGGAAATCCAGCCTCATACAGATAGGTAGTTGGAAAAGGGAGGAGTATTTTAACAGTCTTTTCAGATAATTGTGGATATTCTTTCTTGACACAATACAAAAACTCAACAAGTGGCAGTTTCTTAAAGGTTAGCTGCAACGTGGAAGCTGAAACTGTACCAAAGACGCTGTATATTCTCATACATTACAACCCACTGCTCCATCTTGTATTGTGAAGGGATGTTCTACCCACATATGATTTTACAGCATCACGTACTGGTCATTTGTAAAGTATTAGTTTACTGAGCATCAAAGATCTTCCAAATGCTGACTCATTTCATTATACAATATCCAAAATCATATAATAATATCACCACCAATTCCATCAGAAAAACTTAACTACTGGGAATCTGTAAGATGATAGCAGTTGATACGAGCTTTCCAAAATTCTGTTTTTTTAAAAAAGGCTCTAATTTCATCATCCACAAAAATACTGTCAGTTGTTTTCTGAGAAGTGACAGGTTCACCTCATTCATTTTTGAGAAAATCTCAAGATCATTTTGAGATTTGTGAACATATGCAAATCTCAATAACCAGTTTGCGAGTCATTCTTTTAAGAAAAAATAAGATTCTATGGAGGAGAAAACGAGCTATTTCAGCTCACAGCTGGATCACAGAAGTGCTTTCCCTGGAGTCACCATCTTAGCTCACAATACAGCCAAAGTGTTTCATGCACTCTCTCATTTCGTCCCACAGAGTATTAAAATGTGTACTAAGGCTGGGAGAAAACATTTGTGCATTACATGTCTGATTAATGACTTGTATCTACAATATATTTTTTTTAAAAAAACTCTCAAAACTTAAGAAAACTCAATTTAAAAATGGACAAAAGATCTGAACAGTCACTTCACTAGAGACAACATACAAATGACAACTAGCACATGAAAAGATGCCTAATATCATTAGTCATCAGAAAAATGCAAACTAAATCCACAATGAGATACCACTACAAACTTAGAATGGCTTCACACAACTAACCAACCGATTGACAATGCCAAGTGCTGACCAGGTGGTGGAGTAACTGGAACTCTCATTCATTACTGGTGGAAATGCAAAACTGTACTGCTACTTTGGAAAACAGTGTGGCTGTTTCTTAAAATTAAACATACAGGGGCTTCCCTGGTGGCGCAGTGGTTAAGAATCCTCCTGCCAGTGCAGGGCACACAGGTTCAAGCCCTGGTCCGGGAAGATCCCACGTGCCGTGAAGCAACTAAGCCCGTGTGCCACAACTACTGAGCCTGCGCTCTAGAGCCCATGAGCCACAACTACTGAAGCCCGCGCACCTAGAGCCCGTGCTCCGCAGCAAGAGAAGCCACCGCGATAAGAAGCCCACACACAGCAACAAAGAGTAGCCCCTGCTTGCAGCTACTGGAGAAGGCCCGCACGTAGCAACGAAGACCCAACGCAGCCAAAAATAAAATAAATTTATAGAAAACAAAAACAAAAAAAACATACAAAACATACACTTACCATTATGACCCAACAACCCCACTTCAAGGTGATACAAAAACACACAGGTTCATACAACAACCTGCAAATTCTTATAGTAGCTTTAGTCGTAACAGCCAAAAATTGAAAACAACCCGAATGTCCTTCAACTAAGGAATGGAAAACTGTGGTATATCTGAACAATGGAATACTACTCAGCAATAAAAAGAAACAAACCACAAATACACGCAACAATATGGACAAATCTCAAATGCATTATGCAAAATGTGAGAAGTTAGAAGGCCACACAATGTATGATTTCATTTCTGTAACATTCTGGAGAAGGCAGAACTATAGGGACAGAAAATAGATCAGTAGTTGCCAGATGCTGGGCATGGGGGAAGGGGGACACAGAAACTTTTAGGGGTGATGGATCTGTCCTGAAATTTATTTGTGGAGGTGGTCGCTACTGACCATACACATTTGTCAAATTTCACAGAAGTATACACTAAAAAGGGTCAATTTTACTGTAGGTAAATTATAACTTTTTAAAAAATGAGGAAAGGTGTTCTTGGGACTCAAGATTTGGTAAATTTTTTTTTTTTTAACTGTTTCATGAAGAACATTCTTGAAGGAATATGATTCTCATTTTTCTTTTCCTCTGTGAGGGAGGAATACAATGGCTACTAGTACAGTTTGGTGCCACTGCCCTGATTTAGGCTAAGGCACCAGCAGTTTGCACCATCAGTGTTATTGTCAACATGATGAAAAAAAGCAAATAACATCTGAGTAGTATCATGAAAAGCAGTTTAAGCTGAGGGGCTCTTCTATGAAAGGATATTGAGACCCCCTTGGGATCCAAGGGCCACACTTTCAGACTTGAGGGGGAGGAGGGGCAGGTGGGTAGACTCAATTCTTGCAGCACAGAGTGAAATCAAGGAGTCCTTAAGCATGCAAGAACTTGTGCATGTCCTAAAGAAGAAATGAAAGAAATGGCAGGAATTAGAAAAATGCTGCAAAGCATTCCCAGGACGACATTCAAAACCCAACAGGCCTGGCCAGTGACCTGGCTTATTCCACTCTCAATCTCTTATTTTTAAAAGAGGTTTCATTTTTAGTTTTCATGTAATAGCACAGACATGAGAAAATCAAAGTAGTCTTAGTTTACATTTCTAAGACACGTTTTAAGGGATCACAAAGGTGGGAACTGTCAGGAATGGTTCAGATCTTGAAAAGCCAGAACACGCAGTGTGTCAAGGAATCTATCTTAAAAGCAACTAACGGGGTCCCTCAAAGTTTAAAACATCTCCCAATTTTTCTTCTTCCAATATCAACTCAGCATAGCATTACCCTGAAAAAGAAGGCATGAATGAAGAGAAAACGTGTGTCACAGACAAAACCCATTTTTAAGCCAAATATTAATGGTAACCAGAATATACCAAAGAACTTAGAATTTCTGAATAGTTTCAAGAAATACAAGACACAATGTAATAATGTACAAGACCCTACCTAGTGAGATAACCTGCTCAATTCAGAACTATTTGTAAATATCTGGGACTAAATATTTAGAATCACCTGTCATTCCAAGGAAACAGATGAATAGGACAGAGGAGTATATAACCACGACAGCTGTTTGATATTTGTGAGGGTTTCAACAGAGAAGAGCTGGTGGAATTTTCTTCACCTACTTTCCCTGGAAAGGTAAGGGAGTTGTTTCTGCATGAATTGGCTAGTTAAGCACTTCCCACACAGGCAGGCCCAGCATCATCTACTCCACAGTTAGTGCTCACCACACAGTGAGCCCACGTGAGCACGCTGCACGCTGTGGGCAGAGCTGCAGCCGCCGACTCCTTAGTCAACAGTGATCCACTTTCATCTGTGCTCTCCAGAAAGGTCAAAATCACAAGATATTGCCTATTTCCTGTAGAGTTAGGTGCAGCTCTTTCCAGGTTTTTCTTCCAAGTGCGTAATGGGAATGATTAAAGTCTGACACTCACAACTTTCTATGAGGGATCATGTATACCTTGAATTTTTGGAGCTCTTCAGTTTAGCAATCTTCTTGGTAAATAATAATCTGCTCACAGACAGCTTTGGGTATCATGTCTGACACCATTTCACCAAAAACTTGCTAATTGCTTTCCTAGGAATTACAGGTTTAGCTCCTGACCCAGAGAAATCTTTCAGTCCACTGAAGGAGAGAGATGGCTATCTCCTACAACAGTCAAGCAGATGTTCTGCTCCTATATCTGTTGCAGATGCTTCCAAAGTCAGTTTTGTCTTACACGTTTCATGAGTAACAAGAGTCACAGCATTGGAAATACTACAGATGAGCCTCTTTCCCTTGCTGTCCACCAAACGGCCCATCAAAATGATGGGACCCATCATATCCTCATGGATATGAACTCCTTATGACCACCAGAATGAAGGTCCTTCACTGCAAGCCATGCCAGTGCCCATGGGACCACCTGTAACACAGAGCTTCTTTCCCAGTAAGCAACTGTCAAAAATGAAAACACAGTCCACATCTTTGAAGAATGTATCTTTCAGGCAAAAATAAAGCTTTCATCTAAGCTTTCAAAACCAGATTCTTCCATTCCTTATAAATAAAGAGTTGACACTGGCAGGACTAACCAATCCAGTTTTGTTTTTTGCCACGCCATGTGGCATGTGAGATCTTAGTTCCCCGACCAGGAATCGAACCCGCATCCCCTGCATTGGAAGCACGAAATCTTAACCACTGGACCACCACAGAAGTCCCCCAGTTTGTTTGTTTTTTTTTTTGCAGTACGCGGGCCTCTCACTGTTGTGGCCTCTCCCGTTGCGGAGCACAGGCTCCGGACGCGCAGGCTCAGCGGCCATGACTCACGGGCCCAGCCGCTCCGCGGCATGTGGGATCCTCCCAGACCGGGGCATGAACCCGTGTCCCCTGCATCGGCAGGCGGACTCTCAACCACTGCACCAGGGAAGCCCCCCCAGTTTGTTTTTGAAGCCAGCCCAGCACTAACCCCTGGTCACTGCTAGTTGAGCCCCTGCCATATAACATTCCAGTCTGTTCCACCATGGTAAAAGGCTCACCATCCCAACCAACCCTTAGGGCTTCAGGCAATACATCCAGGTGTCCATAAAATAATTTCTTATCTGGATCTCACTAAATTTGTTGGTAAGATGGGAGGAAGAAGTATTTTAGCCATTAGGGAGCTTTTGTTTCCTGGAATCTGTCATTCAATTGGGCCAACGAATTGCAGGATAACCATAGCTGCAGCCTCCATCAGCCTTTTGATTTCTCCTTTCTTCTCTAACCATGCTAATAGGCTCTGAACTGGCATCCGTTCCAGTTACTGTGGTTGTATAACAGTTACCCCAAAACTTAATGGCATCAAACGACCATTTCTTATGGGGAGTCTGTGGGTCAGGAATTCATGCCGAACGCAGAAGAGACGGCTTGTCTCCGCTCCACAATGTCTGGGGCCTCAGCTGAAAGACTGCCAGGCTGGGGCCGCAGAAGCAGGTGCTCCTCGGTAGTATCTCTGTGTCTGCGTTGTCTCTCCACGTGCGTGCTCCAGCAGAGTGGCTTCAGTAGAGCTGGACTTATGTCCCAAGTCAGAAAGATGCAGGTGAAAGCTGAATTGGTTGGTTGTCTTTTGTGACGAAAGCTTCAGGAGTCAAGCAGTGTCATTTCTGCCTCATTCTGTCAGTCGAGGCAGTTACAAAGGTCTGCCTGGGTTCAAAGAAAAGGAATGAGGACCCCAGCTTGATAGAAGAATGCCAGCTTCACAAGTTAAGAAAAGCAAATAGGACAGGATATATATTGGGGCGGCCACCTTTGGAAAAACACAATAAGCCACAACACCTATACCTGGGGCAGCACCCATCCTGCATGTCTCTTTACAGTGGGGTCCCTGTTTCATCAACACCCTGAGAGGCTAGTGAAGGCAGATGGTTTCCACTCTACTAATGAAACCTGAAAAACCTAGGCTGGGCAAACCTCTGCAACCCTATCACCCTTCTACCCCATATCCCACCAACCTGTTCTACCACCAACCCCTTGGGCTAGGTGAGAAGCTCTTTTTACTGCTTGACTTCCACACTCACATCGTTTGTATTTAAGGGGAAAAACACACATACCCTGCACTTGACCTTACTGCCATTTCCAAATTCAACTTCACTGTGATAATATCTTTCGCAATAATTCTCCTGGAGGGAAAAAAAAGTCTTCACTTAGTTTCCTATAGTTATATACAATTTTGACTTCAACTTGCTGCTGCTTTCACAAAGCCTCTGGGATACCACTACTGCCACCAATGACACTGCAGGTCAAAGTCATGGGTGACTTGAACTCGTCCTCATTTCCAGTGTACTTGACACCACAGCCTATTTTCTTGAAACTCTCACTTCCTTGTTTTTGTGACATTGTGCTCTTCTAGCTTCTACTAATTTTCTCTTTCCTCTTCCTCCACTTGGTCCCAGTATTTCTCAGCACTATTTTTATAGCTTCTAGGTGCTCACCAATACTAGCAGGTTCAAAAGATTCCTTGAAGCTGAGGACTCCCCACTGCATTTCCAACCCTAACCTCTCACCCAGGACTAATTCCTAAATTTTTAGCTGCCTACAGGATCATTCCATTTGCCTAAAACCAAAGCAATCGTAGCCTCCCTACAAAACAGTAAATATTCATACAACAAAATGAAACAGAAAAAAAAAAGCTTCCTTCTCTAACTTCCTCATTTTAGTCAACAGGGACACTATTTTCCAAGATTTGATACTTGTCTAGACAAGCATCATCTTTGACTCTTCCTCTTACTTCTCACCTTGCACAACCTCTACTTAAGTTGCATCACTGGATTTTAGATCTAGAAGGAACTTTCATGATAACTAGTCTGCACTCATTAAACAAATAAGAGAACGGGGGCTCAGAATTCTTGTCTTCTGGCCTCTAGTTCTGCTGACCCAGAGCATGAGGGGTCTTCCGGTACCTATTCAATCCCATCTCTGCAAAGGCTCCAGACAAATCTATTTTCTTTGTGGAATCAGAAGACCTGGGTTTGAGCCCTCAGAAGTTGTTTGACCATAGGCAAGTGCATAGTAACTGCTAGTTAAAACCACCTCCTGATTAAGAATTTACGATAGGAAACATTAACTTTAAACTTCTCAGCTGGGTATTCCACGCCTCCTCCACCCCAAAACTGGCCGATTTTAATCTCCAACCTGATTTCTCACTGAAACAAAATCTGTTTCACTTGGCAGGTCTTCTTCTCATCCTCCCTTTCCTCATTCCTGGCTCTACTTTCACTCACTGCTTCCCCAGCTGGAAGAGTCCTTACACCTCTGCAAATGAAAAGCAGATATTTCCTTCAAGGCCCAGATTGAGGCCCTACTTGCTTCACTAAAGTGTCACTGACCAACATTCCCCCTGGGGGTCTTTCCAAGTTTTTTCAGTCTCCACAGTATCTCAGCTCTATTCCAAACTCTTACACGCAAAGCATATTGTCTTTCACCTACACTGTTTCACATATCTGCACAGTGTTCTCCAAACCAGACTATAATTTCAGGAGCCAAATAGAGTTATTAGGCATTCAATAAATGCCTAATTTAATATAACAAATATCTGCAAAGTGGTTTTTACAGTGAAACATCTGATTGGGGAATTCCCTGATGGTACAGTGGTCAGGACTCCACGCTCTGCTGAGGACCCGGGTTCGATTCCTGGTCAGGGAACTAAGATCCCATGAGCCACACAGCACAGCCAAAAAAAAAAAAAAAGAAAGAAACATCTGGTTGATTTTTAAAAAGTAGAAAATGAGACCTGACTTACATTCAATTTTACTGGATAAAATTACTCGCTAAATAAGGATAATTTTTTCATAGTGACTATACCAATAAACAGTTTTTTCAACAGTGTGACTAAAATGCACAATGCTTGCCTTCAAGGAGCTCATAATCTAGTGTTTAAAAGGCTGTACACACAGACCAGAGATGGTTAGAGAATAATACAATGTAACATACACTATCTTGCTCATCTGCTTACTTACGCCTTTATTTCAACACAGATCCACAGCTAAGAATCTGGAAATAAAACTGTCCTTGTTCGGGCACACAACGCCTCCAAATCAGCAAAATATTAAAGAACCACAACATTCATGCCTTTTACCTATAGGAGAGGCTCACTTGGTACCAAAGTACTCTCATATTCCACCACTCAATTTCTTAGTGGCTTATTCTGATTAGAAATTGCAAACAAGAGAGGGAAAAAAACTACAGAACCCAAAACTCAATATGGGCTCACTCATCAAACAAATACTATGTAACACCTACTGAACATAATGATGAAAACAACATGATTCAAATATGGTATGTTTCACCTAGCAAATTAATTAAGATTTCTTAAAAGGAGACTCAGTACAGGCAAGGGGTCAAGGGAAATGGGCCCATCAAACTTTTGGGGGTTGGGGTAGTGAGTCGAGTGGAGTTAGGGGTGTATCCTAGAGGGCAATTTGGCAACATGCATCAGAAGCTCTGAAAATGTGCACCCCCTCTAAATTAGCAAACCTGCTACAGGACTACAGGCTATGGAAATAATCAGGAGCAGCAATGAAGACCTGTGACAAGCAGGCTTGCCACTATATTAACTGTAACAGTGAAAAATTTAGGTACATCATAAACCTTGTCCTGGGTGATAAGTTATATCACATTTATATAACAAAATACAATACAGTGATTAAAAAGCCTCCCCACCAAAAGCATTTTAAGGATATAAAAAAATACAGATGAAAAGATTTGAGACAGTATGATCACAATTTCTTAATGATTAATAACAACAATAATACCCATTTATATAAATCCTGGCCTTTCCAATTACAGGCTTATGAATTGTAAGTTTGTTTTTTTTTTACTCTCTAAGTTTCATTTTCTCCATTTGTAAGATGATAATAATACTAGTACCTACTTCATAAGGATTAAAAAGACAATCTCTGTCATGTTCTCAGGACAGTGACTGATATATTTATATCAAAAAAAAAAAGAGATCAAAAACTGATGGATAGTATTACATAAAACTGTTAATAGAAACAGATTAAAAAAACACCAAAATTGTAACTATTTCTGGATGGTGGTATTTCAATGAATTTTTAATCCTTTTTTATATTTTTACTTCCTAAGTTTTCTAAAATGAGCATATATCACTTTAAATGTTACTCCAAAAAAAAAAAACCAGTAAGACATGGTCTTTCCTCTCAGAAAGGGCAGCCTGTTTGGATGGAGACATATATAGACAGTTAAAAGAGAATGTTTACTGAGCACTTGATACATACTCCAAACTGTGCTGAGGCAACTTACATGCATTAACTCATTTAATCCTCATAACCGATAAAGCAGGCATTGTTAAGCCAATTTTGTACATAAAGAAACAGGTTCAGAGAGGATAACTAATGTGCCACAACTTACACCAAGTAATTGACAGAAGTGAGATCCCAACCTTGGGTCAGCTTGATTAACAAAGCTCAGTTCTTTCACCAAACCTCACTGCCTCCGGAAGTCAAATAAAAAGAAAAATTACACCCAGAACATGCATTTCCTTTCCCTTTACGCCCAGCTTTGTTCTTCTTACAGAAGTTATCACCACCTGACATACCATATATTCGTTCATTTGTTTACTGTCTGTCTCTAGAATATAAGCTTCGTAAGGACAGGGATGTCATTTGTTCATTGCTGTCCCCTCAGCCCCTGGCACACAGAAAACAGACACTCAGTAAGTATTTCAGAAGGAAGGATTCCGAATAGAGCTGTGACCTGAACGTGTCTCCGAGGTCACGTCTGGCAGCAGTGCAAATGAAGCTTGGTGAAGAAGCTGCTTAGAAGAGTTCAGGTGCGAGAGAACAAGGACATGAACTAGGGTGGAGGAACCAAAACCAGAGAGGAAGAGAGGATTCCAGAGAGATCCAGGGGATGCACTGATGGGCCCCGGTGACCAAGTGGACATGCGACCGAAGGGCTGTGAGGAGACAGGAGTAAAGAGGGCTAAGAAGAGGCAGGCATTTTTAAGGAGGGTGAAGGAAAAGAAAAAAAGGGGAAGATATCCACCCCATAGCATGGGGGAGGTCAAACAATTAGTAGAAAACACAGAAAAACACACAGGAGAGAGTTGGGTCAGAGTGACGGGGGTGCAGGACATGCACAGATAAACAGGGACCACCTGACACAATGGGAATAATCAAGCTCACCCAGTGAGAACACACAGGAGAGGGTCAACTAGACAAACTACAACTTAGGGGCAGGCCTGAGTTGATTCAGTAGAGCTAGGGGTTCTGGTAGTGAAAATACCACTGTGAATGTCTGTGCCAGGTAGGGCCACATCTGCCCAACTGTGGTAGTTTTCTCCCGTGTTCTGGGATTCTGCTCTGAACAAGAAAACATCGAGAGTGTCAAAACCTCACAAGACGAGCTTCAAACACTCAGGCACTAATCACTGCATATTTAAATTAAAACAGCTTTCGAACTGGTCTCCTTTTTAATTTTTATTTATTTATTTTTGGCCGCGTTGGGTCTTCATTGCAGTGCGTGGGCTTCTCATTGCAGTGGCTTCTCTTGCTGCGGAGCCCAGGCTCTAAGCCCACGGGCTTCAGTAGTTGTGGCTCGCACGCTCCAGAACGCAGCCTCAGCAGTTGTGGCGCACGGGCTTAGCTGCTCCGAGGCACGTGGGATCTCCCCGGACCAGGGCTCGA